AAAAAAAAAACATAGCAAACGTGCGTGCGGATGACCCTAATTGTGGGCGTAAATCAAAGAGCGGACCTTGAAAAGTCGACTGAAGAATGAACGATCAGACGATGGCATCGGAGGAGGAGTAACAGAGAAGAACAACCCATCTTCATTCTCTGAGACTGCGCCCAACCCCGCCCCTGTCAAGCAAAACGCAGGCTCGAGTTGTATTTCTGCTCGACGATCAACACGCACTTCCACAAATTCTTCGCCACTCATCATTCTTCCTTGACTTCTACCTGTTTTACTACTTGAAGAAGCTACTAGAAGATCGCTTTCAGAAGGCACATCAGTTTCTACATATTGGTTTTTGGTGCCATTTGTATAAGACCCCAGATGGTATGAATCGTCCCGTAAAGCAGAATCGCGATCCGAAGCAACATCCCTTGCGGGTGATTGCTCTTTACTGCGAGTTGTAAAAGATTCCACAATGTGTGATGCGCCAGGTACTGCACGATCACGGTCAGAAGCGACAGTACTCTCTAGAGGTCGGTCTTTGATGTCTGCAGAGTAAGATCCGGCAGGGTGAGTACTCTCAGCTATTATGCGATTTCGATTAAAGGTGAGATCTTCTGCACCTGATTGATCTTTCCTCTCAGTTGAATAAGGCTCCACAATATTTGAACCACCAGATGTAGTAGTGATAGTTCTCCTCCAGAATGTTGTAGAGGAAGACGTAGTTCTAGATGTATGTTCACCGTCTTCCCCTAGCGCATCTGCACGCCGGCTAGCATAGGTAGATCTGTGATCTTCGCTCGGGACAGATGTATCAACATATTGTTTTTCATGAGATTTAACAGAACCACGCTCACGCTCTTCAAGGCTTGTTGGCTGTAACTCCAACTTGCGCGGAGATCCAAAAGCCCGATAATTCTCTTTCCTGGCAGGAGGAACTCGAGAAATGAGACGAGCAATGCGAGCCTCTTCTTCTGCAGACATAAATGATGGTTTCTTCTCAGGAGATGCTCTCAAGTGAAGAACACCTTCCTGGCTTTTAGAGCGATCACTAGCGGGAACAGTGGAAGAGTCGCCATTTTCATGAGTTCTCGTTAATAATGTATTTTCAGTATGATGGGTAGGGTCACGCTCCACTAGCTCTGCTGGTCGTAACCCTAGATGACCAGGAGACTGGTGATCGCCGCCACCTGCTTGAGGAACTCGAGCAGTCAATTGCTTTCTTCGCGCTTCTTCCTTCGTCAACGGAGACGCTGGTTTTTCCCTTTCAGGAGATGCTTTCAAATGAAGTACACCTCGCGCTACATCATCGTCGTTCCACGACTGCCCTGAGTGGTACGCTTGGGCATGATCTCGCAATGGCGCCGGTTTTAATTCGGATTGACGAGCAA